TCTTCGGAGTGCAGTCCTTGCATGTCCTCGTCCTCGTCCTCGTCTCTCTTCATGTCATCATCGCCATCCTCGTCGATTCTTGACCTCTTGCTGTGGGATGAAACGGAGGTGTGGTTTTGTTCGCGAAGGTTTTGTTCTTCTTGGAGGAAGGTTGACGCTACAGAGAACTGGCCTTCTCGCAAAAGGTGCATTGCTATGGCTCGGTTGATGAGTTCGGGATGGTCGGCCATGGCATCTGTCTCAATGGGAAGCTCTCGATGCGGAAGAGCCTGGAACATCAGTTAGCCTCAATGTGAATATTATAAGGGAATTGTTATCGGCCTGTGGTGACAAGGCCTGTAGAACAATAGGACCAACTCACCTTGTCCAGCGCCTTGCCAAAGCTCCTCTGGGCCTTGGTCACATCCTTCAAGTCCTCGGTTATGGCTTCAAACCGAGCCTTGACTGGATTTTGCAACGTTGTCATGGCCATGCCAATTTTATGGGAATCATCATCTGTCGGCAGGGTCAGTCGTGTTTGTGCACCATGAGATGCCGGGCGAATGACGCAGCGGGTTCAGGTCTCGTACCACGAGCCACTTGCTCCCGTGCTGCCGTGAGCAAATCAATTATCGAGTCGACATCATTTATAGCTGCATTCAGATTAGACTTGCGCATGCGAGCCAGTTCTGCCAACAGCGGCCCAAAGGGCGACGAAGGCGTGTCATCCTCCGCGCCAGCCATAGCTGCCAGTCTGAAAGCTTGATGCCGAGTGTAGGCGACGGTGGGAAAGCGAAGGTGGTGGAGTCGACGTTTGGCAGGATATCGTGTCGGCAACGCTTTTTCCCGGGGGTTTGCCTGACCGTTACGCAAGCAGGGAAAGCGTTGTTGATGGATCGATCTATGAGGGTGAAGCTCGCTGGTTGTATCTCGGTTGGGGATTGACGTCGATGATGGTCACGCTACGTAGTCTGGACGGCTTTCGGGCAGGGCTTATCGATAGGCTTGGGGTGGGTGGACATTGAACAGTTGTGCCCGCATCTGGGCAGACATGGACGTGTTGGACCCGCAGCTCAACGACAGCCGAATGCTTCGATCAATGTTCACATCACCTCGAGGCTTCACGACGTAAATATATAAGCGGCCGGCATCAGTCCGTACTACTGCTATTCACTATTCATTAAAATGGGATCGTGGTCTTTGTGACTGAAGCCTTGATGAGGGGCACTGCCAGTGTGCAAGCTGGGGCCATCAGGTGCTCTTGTGCGCTCCCGATGTCGAGTGCTAGACTCAGTTTGGCAGCTCACCGTACTCCTTGATGCTCTCAACATTGCAGTCTTGTGCTGTCAGAGACTGCTGTGCATGTCCCGAGGTGCCGCCTGGTGCTGCCTTTGACCGGACTAACATTGAGGTCAACATTCAAAGTCCACGGACCACGAGAGGACTGAGGACTCGCTGTTGCGCTGGAATGCATTGCCATGCAAGCATTGAAGCTGCACAGCCCCGCCGCAGGCTGCAACGCCAATCATTGTCCCCATCAGCCCTCGTCTTGTCCCTTGTCTCGGAAAGCTCTCAGCTCCCACGCTCGGATTCATCCCCGCTCAACCGCTCAACGACTCGGCTACGTACTCTACCAACTGCATCACATGCCATCCGACACACTGACCGTCATTTGTCCCCAGGCTGCCCCGTACATCCTGCTGATGCAGCGCGACTACCGAACTCGCCAAATGTCAAGAACCTAAGTGCCGCCTGTCGGCCTCGCCCACCTGGGCGTACCTCGGGAAGCCCTCGTGTTGGAACTGTAGCAGAACCCATTGCCGTTGACGGGTTGACAGGTCGACTGTCACACCAGATGACATCACCCATAGGCTTCCTATCGCCCTTGACCCAGGAGGGAGGACGCTTTCGGCGAGATGATGGCTTTTTCTCTCCTCCCTCCAGGGGCGCCTCACCTCACAATCACCAAGAAAATCCCATGGAAAGTACAATCCTTTCGCAAGATCTAGCTCAAGTTCGGACACGAGACGGCCTGTCATCCACTCCGCAAGGCCCTCAGGTGCCTCAACGACGTTTGGTGCTGCCAGATCCCTTGGCTTGCCGGTAACATATATTTCCGAACTGCTCTGCATGCTGTCTGTCGACAACAATATGTGCTGATATCATTGCATTTGTCAGGTTCATTGAAGAAGACCCGTGCGTATCTGTTATCGAACGACGATGCATTCTTGGTGGCTATGAGTTGTACGTGGTTGAACAATGGGCATGCTCCCGCCAATCTCCGACCGTAGTCATCACAACCTACACCGGAGACGAGAAACACTGTATAGTAGTTGGCATTGTCTCCATCCCAGAAGATCAAAATCTTTGGTCCCCGAGGCTAAGGTTATACTTCAAAGCCGCCAATCAATATAATTCGCGCCCCAAGGAGACGGGCCTGGGAGAGTTGATGATTACGAACTTGAGCAGCTTCCCCTCAGCTCTCACCGTAATTCCGGTCCCGGATGGAGATGTGCGGAAGCACCGTCGAGTCTTCTTTGTAAACGAGAATCTCAAACGATTAGGGTGTTCAGGCCGCTCCGGCTTGGCACTGACAGACCCAACCGAAGCAACACAGGCCAAGTTTCACCAGCTCTACAAGACAAGCGACCGTATTCCTATTCTACAATCCGTCATCGAACTCATCAAGCTATGTCAGGTTGCGCTGTACATGTTTGAGAAGCTGGACCACCAATATATTGATGGGTTACTATGCGATGTTACTGAGAAAGCAATCAACAACTGGTGGACGGAAGTTGGTGCCGAGCACTACAACTTTGAGCCTACTGACGGAATCCTGGGTCCCTCTACCGTATCAGCATTGCTGGGCATGTTGATGGGGGCAAGGAATCGACTGCACTGGTACGGCGCACCGGTGTCCAAGGATGTATTCGAGATTGAGTGCACAAAGAGAGGCGTGGCTTACTTTCAGAAGCAACAAAAGTTGGAAAAAACACGCCGCCTTGACCGACAAACAGTGTTCCGGTTGCATACAGCGACTGCCAAAGGTGCCGCTGCTGAAGGATGGGGAGTGCAGAGAGCCGTCAAATCCACCGTATCTGAAATCGGAGGCAAGAGGGGTGAGCTTGTCATGGACATGGTTTCGGGCAAAGACAAGGGTGGTCTAGCGGATATCGAAACGGTGGATATTGACAGATTCGTCAGCTTGGTGTATGGAGATCGACCAAGGTGGCTTTGGCATGGCAAGACTCGAAGGTCTGTCGCTGACTCCTTTGGTAGCGGCGATCAAGAGTTCGGCAGCATGTTTTCTTCTGGGAAAAGTGAGGCTTCTGATACTATGCCAAAGCGGACACACGCTTTGCTGATCGACGAGGAGTTGGGGGCTCGGCGTAAAGAAGACAATAGTGCAGCGTCTTATCCCACCTATCCACCTGGCTCCGTTAGCAACATTGCAGATACGTCAGGCGAGAGAGATACTCTGCGCAGGGGAGTCTTTAAAAGCGTGGCGGATAAAATGAGCGATGCCCGCTCTGGTCTTGGTCGCATAAAAGACGCTGTGGGTGGCAACCGAAAAGGCCATGCAAGCAAGTTGTCCATCCCTGCAAAAGAAGACTTCTCAGATGGAGGAAACGGAAGCGGCTTGCTGCCGTCAGCTTCACAAACCTCGGTCATGACACCTAATCCTCCTATTGCCCGCGCATTCACCTGGAAGAACAAACCAGAAGAGTATCTTGCAGCCATCAGGCGAGGTGATGACGTGCTGCCCGGTCAGAGTGATGATGCCCATTACTCCGGAACATCAGCAAGGGATGTGAAAACTGACGAGAAATCTGGTGACGAACTCCTGACCGCCGGGGAGTCGGACAACAACCTCAGTCGCATCGGTTCCGAGATTCGCAAAGGCATCAGTCACAAGGGATTCTCACCCGCACAGTCTGTTGAGGACGACAGTAATCTTCGAGCATCATTGTTAGAGAAGGAACAAAAGCCGTGCCGCAAGCAAATTTCCATTGCAAGGCGTCGCAGTTGCGGAATTGCTGACCTGACCACGAAGCACATCACAAACGAGAGCCGTTGGCCGCGCCGGATGTCCTTTGGTGACGCGGAAGAGGCAATTTTAACATGGGAGGAAGTCATTGACCTGACTGAGGCGACGGACTACCTCACGTGCGTCGAAGCTCATGCAGAAGCCGCCAGTCATCTGAATCATCTTATTGAAGAAATTGTTAGCGACGTCGGGCCTTGGGTCGAGGACAAGATCAAAGCAGTAGAGTTCCTCAACGAGCGATACGATCAGGACAAAACAGAGCTACAAGGCATATATCATCAGCTCAACGAGGCCTGTCAACGAATTCACCATAACTCAAACGAGCTCCTCAGTGAACAGCGCGAAAATCTCACCGAGAGCGTCAAGGAAATTGAAGTGCTCCTTGCGCGTCTAGAATACGAAATCAACGGTCTGTCCCAAAAAGTTGCCGACGTTGAGGACAGCATTCAGAATTTTGGGCGGCAAGTAGATGATGTAGAGAGTAGAGCAGCAGAGTTGAAGGCGACGCTTGAAACAGAAAGCTGGCCTCATTGGTTTGTTCGCACACTTACGGGTATCGGGACAGGGCCCAACATCACACGGGAGCCATAGTGGTCTTGTTACACTGCAGCAATATTTTTTGTCGCATCATTTCCTTCTTTTGTCCAAAGCATGGCGCAGATTTTACCATTTTTCGGTTTCAAGCAAAGCATATCGAGAGATACAGGGCGTTTTTCGAAATTCAAGAAAGATACCATTATTGTTGGTGGGGAGATGTAGTCCCAAATCATGATAGTTTATACAGCATCGAGTAATTTACAAATCGTTGTATCGCATCAAGTATCCCAACCGTCTATACTCGTACACTAACCGGCTCCGGCTCCGGACCAAGCTCAATCCCTCCCTACGTCTCCCACGTATCCCGCCTCCTATCCAGTGAGTCCCCCTCCCCAATCTCCAACCCCGGAGAGAGCGCCCCCTCCCTCCAAACAGCTTAGAACAAACCCCCGCCGGCCTGGGGCGCGCCGCCCATAGCCTGGCCCTGCTGCTGCATAATCTCACTGACCTTCATCGACGTATCCAGGAACTTGGCCGTACACCGGTCCAGGCACACCGACTCACCCTTGTTCAGCTCGCCCTCGCGGTAGTCGGTGGGGATACACTTTTTCTGGCAAGTCTTCTGAAGACTGAGTTTTCCACACGTCAGCATTGGCTTCGGTTCAAGTTTGGAGAGGTGACGTTTGCGTACCGGTTGTACGTGTCTGCCATCATGCGCATCTCGCCTTCTACGGCGGCAATCTTCTGCTCCGAGGTGGGCTGCTGGCGACCGATCCCGAAGAAAGACATGTTGGCAGGTGGCCGGGGCGCGTGTGTGTGAGGGTCGGCGCGGGTGTTTAGTTTCTGTCGTTGTGAGGAAGGAGGGATGGTGGTTGGAACTATGTTGATGGGGAACACTGAGTTTGACGTATGAGCCTCGGGGGATAAAATTTAGGGTGGTGATGGGGTGCTTACGTTATGATCATGGCTTATCGATAAGATGTAAGATGTGCGGAAGTATGGGGACCTCAATGAGTTAGTTACCCGGTAGGATCGGTGGTTGGGATTTGTATGGATGATGCATGTTTGGTATTGGAAAATGTGTATGAAAGCCAGGATGAATCACCAATTTTGCTAGTGTGTCTGACGCATCGCGATGCGGTCATGGTGTTTTGCGTGGTTAGTCACGGTTCCTTGGCCTACCTACTCAAGTACCTACCTAGGTACCTAGGTAGGTACCTAGTAGGTACGGCTAAAGTATAGTGTTACTATATGTCTTACATGATCATCTGACTTAATTTTTTATTATTATTACTTAATATGAACGCCAGGTGTAAGATTGAAGTTGAATGATTCTTTTCGAGTTTTCAAACATTTGGTTATATTGCGTTGTGCTAATATGCGTGATATTGAGTGGTTTCAGTCATCATGATTGTTTCCAGCAAGTATTCCTTTGTACTCCCGGCAAAGGCTAGTGTCCTGCCTACTGGTCAAAGGTAATATTCTTGGTCCTCGTCCACTCAGCTAGTCCTATTGAGCTATTGAATCGTCCATACCCACTCGACTTGGTGCCGCCATGAGGCAACGAGGTTTCATCATGGACACTCATGCTGTTAATATGGACTGCACCAGTCTCCAGTTCCGCGGCGAGACGCAGCCCTCTTCTAAGATCTTCTGTAAAAATGGCCGACGTCAACCCATACTCTGTGTCGTTGGCGATATGGATGGCTTCTTCCTCGGATTCAATCTCGATTACTGAAACGGTGGGTCCGAAAGACTCCGTCTTGTAAATGTCCATCTCGGAAGTGACGCCGCTCACAATGACGGGCCGCAGCCTGTTGTGACTGATTTCCTGGGTGTGGATGTTGCCGTGCAAGATAGTTGCTCCGCGCTCAGTAGCATTGGAAACGAGTTGCTTGTTCTTTTGGACCGCGGCGGTGTTGATGAGGATGGGCGCATCTCCATCAACAGGAAACGTATTCGCAACTGCAGCGGCAAGTTTCTGCTGAAAGACATCGCTTACGGCCTTGTGAACCAAGATTTTCTCTGTGCACATGCAAACTTGGCCGCTGTGCATGAATGAGCCCAGTGCGCAGTGTTTGGCGGCCAGATCCAAATCTGCATCTTCCCAGATTATGGCTGGAGCTTTACCGCCGAGTTCCAAAACTGCCGGCTTAAGATGCTCCCCGGCCTGCTTTGCAATGATTCGACCGACGCTGGTACTGCCCGTGAAGTTGATCTTCTTGACATGCGGATTGGCTATCAAGGAAGATGTAATGGCTGGAGCGTCGGCGGGGTCGTGAGCAATCATATTCAACACGCCATTGGGAAGTCCAGCTTGATGAAACACATCAACAATCGCCCGCATGGTCTTGGGGCACAGCTCGGATGCCTTGAAGACTACAGTGTTCCCCATAGCGATTGGATATGCAACCGATCTGGTGCCAAGGATATACGGGGCGTTCCTGTGCTGAAATGTGAGTGATTCATCTTGGGGAAGTGCGTCTCGGGGGGACTGGATCTCTTACCAGGGCGCAATGGATAACACAACACCATAAGGCTCACGCATGACGATTGCACTTCTATTGCGGTCTATTGTTGGTGGGAACGAGCCTTCCACAGTTGGGATGCGGCCGGCGATGTCTTTGACGATGTCAATTGTGGTGTTGATGTTGAAATCGGCCCAGCCTCGCGCAGCTCCAGTTTCGTCAGCCATGTGCTTAATAAGTTCGTCGCGACGGCTCCCCATAAGTTGGGCGGCTTTGAGAAAGATGTCTCGTCGCTCCTGGGGCGTTGTTTTACGCCATGACTTGAGAGAGCCGGCCGCGACGTCGACAGCTCTTGCGGCGTCTGCTACAGAAGCACCACCACATTTGTGGATGACCTGGTCCGTATATGGAGATTTGACGTCGAAAGTCTTGTCTGGGAAGTAGTCTTGGCCATTGATGACGAGCGGCAAAACACCAGAAGTCGCCATGACGTCCGGTTGTTGAAGTCGTATAAAATAATAAGAAGACAAGTTGTGTGACGCTCGGCTATGCAGTTGAATATGCAGTTCCTGAGATGCGTCACCGTTTGAGGACCTGGAGAAGCGCAACGAACGACCGATTTACAGAGGTTGCCATGGCAAGTGCCATCGTTTAATACCCCATTCAGAGGGATCGGCAGTTGTCATAAAAATTACACCGCTAGGCCAAAAATGAAGCTCCACGCTTGAGGGTGGATTATCTTGGTATAGTGTACGTGCGACAAGTACTTAAGTAGTTGCTGGTTGTGGGTTGCCCCGCATTATCCAAAGCTGGAGTGTTACACTTTAAAGGGCATTAATTGTAACGATAATGTATATATATAAGTCTATGTTTAGCTATAAAAGAGAGAATTATATGCGCTCTTTTTATAAGTGCGCTTATTATTAAGGTTATTTACTTATAATTAAGAGTTTACTCTTATTTAATTAAGCGTATATAATTTATACTTATAATAAGTAACTTATTTTAATATACCCTTTAATTAAGCCTATTATTAAAGCTATTATAAGTATTATTTTCCTTATTTAAATACTTACTTAAGTATTAAAAGTGTAATTATAAGCTTAATTATATATATCTTACCTTTTCTTAGCGTTTTAATTAATATAATCTTTTATTAATTAAAGGTTATTTTATTAACCTTTTATTTATTAAGGTAAGTTAAATATAAGCTATACGTTCTTATTAGCTATACTTATTTTACTTTTATACGCGTAACTTATTAGTATTATTAGCTTCTTTTTTCTTTATTATATATTACTTCTTTAATTATAATTA